CTAGATAGATAGATAGATAGATAGATAGATAGATAGATATATAGATAGATAGATAATAAACTGGCTAAGATAGATAGATAGATAGATAGATAGATAGATAGATAGATAGATAGATAGATTCTTAACAAAATCTAAAGAATTCTGTAATGCAATCGATCCTGGCAAGACATCTTGACATCAGTCGATTACTCATCGACGTGGAGTGGCTTCTCTCTGTCTTTTCTACAAATATTTTCATGGCAACTTCTCGTATGAGATTTATTCCCTAGTGCCCCGTCTACATGAATTTAACTGTTCTACAAGATTAGGAACTAGGTCTCAGACTTTTATTGTTGAACTAACTGGAAGCGAACAGTTTCTTTTTTCGCACATCTTCACTGTGGAAATCACTTCCGATATCTTGCTTCTCTGGTAATCTTCAAAAATTTAAAAGCAACGTCAGTCACCAAATTCTTTCTTCTTGAAACCTGTTTTATTTTTTTTTTTTTTTTGTCCTTTCCTCAATCTCACAAATTCTCAGTCTTCGCATTCAATTTAACTTTCACTTTCACACCTTGTAACCTCTTGCGTTCTAGTGACATTAATCGACTTGCTTGGGGTGAAGCGACTAAAAGGAAACGAAACAAAATTAAGAAAAATTACACAAGAAAAGGAAGAATATGTGCAGATATGGAAAGTATGAAGCAATAAATAAAAATAACTGATCATGAATAACAAAATGGAGAACGGAAAGAAAGAAAGGCAACAAATACATAAAATAAAATAACCACATACGATGAGAGACAAAGAAAGAAAGAAAGAAAGAAAGAAAGAAAGAAAGAAGCAACTACGTACGTCTAGGGACAGGGAAAGAAAGACGCAGTAAATAAAAATAACCTAGTATGAATAACAAAATGGAGAACCTAAAGAAAAAAAGTAAGCAAATTGATAAAATGTAATAACAACGCGTATGACTAGCCAAATAGGCAATAAATAGAAAAATAAAATTAACCTCAATATCTCTCTCTATTTCTGAGATGAGGTATTGTAATTATTTACACTATTTACATTGGACTGTTTTCCTCGTCTTCGTTGCAATATTCACGACTTTTCGGCAGTTCTACGCTTCGCCCTTTTCAGGTGATTGGAATTTCGAACTGAACCTTTTATTTTGTCCAATGGGGTAGATTGTTCTAGTTCCACCTGCTTACTCTCTTTTTTGCTGCTCATCATTAATGTTTCTGTTCCTAATTCTTACATACCCCTTCTGATTTAGTTGCATTACTGCCTTGCTTTGGGTGATTGCGATTAAAAAAAAAGTTCTATATGTCATGTCACTTCCTGGATGTCACAGTATCAGTTATCTGCCTTTAATTCAACTTTCCAAGTTTTGGTTCATTTGTAGCCCGGTACTGAACACAACTCTTTGGCTACAACGGCCAAAACATATTTAATATGGCAATGAAAATGTGGACAATATTTCGACCAATGTAACTAGTGTAAATGAAATAACCTTGTATAACTAAAAAAAAAAAAAAGATGAAATAGAGAAAGATAAAAAAGAACTAAAGGAAAGAAAAATCCAAAACTGTTTGAGGATTAAAAAACGACAAAAAGAAAGAAAAAAAGAAAGAAAATTTGCATTAATATTATTAGAAACAGGAAGAAAATTTGAAGATATTGAAAGAATGACGTAATAAATAAAAATAACTGCGTATGAATAACAAAATAAAGAACGTAAAGAAAGAAAAAAGAAAGAAAAGCAACAAATAGATAAAATAAAATAACCACGTAGAACAAGAAAGAAATAAGCAAACAAGTACGACTAAAGAAAGAAAGAAAGAACCACGTATAACTAGGATCATGGAAAAAAAGAAAGAAAGAAAGAACTACGTACGACTAGAGACATGGAAAGAAAGAAAGAAAGAAAGAAAGAACCACGTACGACTAGAGACATGGAAAGAAAGAAAGAAAGAAAGAAAGAAAGAAAGAAAGAATAGAATTTGAGGGACGAAAAATAACTTTAAAAATGGTTGAGAAAATGATGGCGGCTAAAATAGAAAGAAAGAAAGAAAGAAAGAAAGAAAAAAAAGAAAGAACCACGTACAACTAGAGTCATGGAAAAAAAGAAAGAAAGAAAGAAAATACTACGTACGACAAGAGACATAGAAAGACAGAAAGAACAACGTACGACAAGAGACAAAGAAAGAAAGAAAGAAAGAAAGAAAGAAAGAAAAAGCGAATCAGAAGGACGAAAAATAACTTTAAAAATGGTTGAGAAAATGATGGCGGCTAAAATAGAAAGAAAGAAAGAAAGAAAGAAAGAAAGAACACTTTGCCGACGAACACAAGCAAACAAAAAGAGAATGATGTGGACGATTTTAAAATCTTGATTGAAAAAAAAAAGAAAAGTAAAATATAAAAAAAGTGTAAAAAGAAAATGATCGAAAATCGTCAAAATAACAAAAATAATAATCTGGTAAGAAAGAAAATCTGGAAGTAGAAAAAAAGAACAGAATCT